AATCATGTGTTTTCTTTAGGTGAAAAGGGAACATTTTCCTTTCTTGCATAAAAAAAACACTGCTCCCTATCTCCCTCATGTGACCTAAAGCCTAGGCAGTCTAGATCACGTGGTCTATGCCAACTAGGAGCATCTCAAAAGGATTCACATAACTGGAGACTGCATAGAGTTTATTTTCAATCAGATAAATCCTGTCTTAGTTGTGTTACAATCATTGTGTAACAAAACTAAGCTGACGCTGATATGGCTGCCCTCATATACACACAATATATAATTACTAACTATTGATCTTTTTCACCGCAAAAAAAAGTTCCCCATTAATAGTTGTTTTTTTAATTTTCTATCATTTTTTTCTTCTTTGCAAAGCAGTCGATGAGAGAAACTAGTTACCTATACTTTTCCTGTTATTCCTTAAATCTGTTTATTCTATATTAGTGGAATCAAATCATAAAAGAAAAAAAGAACATGATAGTGTGCTTGGGCTGTCAACTTTTATTATAAAAAATACTGTACTATACTACACTGCCTGCCCGAAAAAGAAAAATTCACACATTCTAATATTTCATTGGATCATTGATTACGACACGCATTCGCAGTGGCATTATTTTGATAAGCTTATGCAATGTCACAACATTTATTTCCGTCCAGAGTTGCATTCATTTTTCCCCAAGATCTTGCAATGATAATGGGAGAGTCGGACCTCTGTGTAAAGTCTTCTCCAGCACATCCCAAAGATTCTCAATGGGGTTAAGGTCTGGACTCTACAGTGGCCAATCCATGGGTGAAAATGATGTCTCATGCTCCCTGAACCACTCTTTCACAGTTTGGGCCCAATGAATCCTGGCGTTGTCATCTTGGAGTATGATCCTTGCCATCAGGGAAGGAAAAATCTATTGAAGGAAAATCCTGGTCATTCAGTATATTGAGGTCGGCAGCTGACCTCATTTTTTGGGGGACATAATGTTGTTGAACCTAGACCTGACCAACTGAAGCAACCCCAGATCATAACAGAGAGATTTTGGCTCTTTCCTCCTGACACATGCTGCGGATGGCAGTGGATTCTCTTCTCCTTAGTCCTAAAATGAAGGCTGAACTCTCAACATGCACTTGTTTCCTTCTCTTTGAGCAGAGGAATGTTGGGAGTCTTAGCGGCTCTATAGTTGTTTTCTCTTCAGCTCCATCTTGTGGCCCATTTTGATATGGCAGGTAGGTAAGCCTATAATTTCTACATGCTGGAGGCAGGACAGCTTCCTTCATGTCCTGCCCTGGTGCCCAACCAGTGGCCCACGGGACCGCATTCGGCCCTTTTGCACTTATTGCGTTGTAAAAGAGCTTCTTTATGTCTTTAATTTTAACTTAATTTCTACTGTTCTGTTCATCCCTTTCCTTGGTTTATGGTTTTATAATGGATCTTGCTGAGAGAGATATTAAATGTGGATAATTTTTAAGGAGGCTGTATGGAGCACAAACGTGGAAGCGTTAATTTGTAAAAAAAAAAGGCTGTAATATCAGAGATCTCTAGCAGTCTCATGAAATGTATCTCCAGTCTCCTGAAGCATGCCCCCAGTCTCCAAAAACTCCTATATTATGTTTTCAGTCTCCTACCATCGTTGTAGCATACTTGCAGTCTCTGAGTGCATTTCTGTAGCATTGTTTTTACTGTGTTGTACGGCCCTTTGGTGATGTCAGGAGCCCTTTAATATTGTTAACCAGTGATGTACGGTATGCCATTGCCGTTTCCAATAGAGCTTTCTGGGGAACCAGACTAAAGGCAGCAGACAGCAATCGTACATGTGAGCAGGATAGCACTGTTGGGAAGCATAAACATGCATTATTCTGACTCAGATTGTTGTGATAGCGAAATATATCCCTTGCTGAGACCTCTATGCCTGGCCTGTATAAGCAGATATACTCACTGCGGACAATCCTCGTCAGATAGCTGAACTCGTCAATACCGATTCATTAAAAAGAGGTGTTTATTCTTTACATCAGGATTACAGCAGATGATAGGAACAGCAGATGAATGGTTATAGTATTGTGCGGTCAGAAAATGATGCCTTTCCTACGTACTGTGCAGATTACATGTGTGTCCTATTACATGTGGCTTGCTAGCTTTGGCCATGGCACAGGAAGTACTGCACACAGGAAGAAGGAAGGGGCGTACACAAAGGGGGAAATACGTTGTCACATGAGGAATAATTACAGAAAAACATGTACATTACAACAAAAGGCCACTAGATGGCAGCATAGGATAACACATGAATTTAGCTATATAAAAATAGTTAGGCAAATCACACTATATAAATTCTAACCTATATAACAATGCTAATATTAACTGAGGCTATGCATCTCATATTCTATGCCCCTATTGGGGCGGCACATGCATTCTCAGCTCACCTATGGAGAAGGGGAAGGTACATACTGGGAAAGAATAGCGACCTAACACAATTTTTAAACCTTTCCAACTGATCTTTCCTCCCAAGAGTATTGAGCCAGGGTTGTCTGCTGTTCCCATAGACCTGGAACAGACAACTCTCAGCTTAGCTTCAGTGAGTCCACCAATGGGCAGGTGATGCAGTCATGTTGAGAATTCCTTTCCTGTAGTGGCACATGCAGTGAGAGCATAACAAAGTACAACCAAATCCAATTTCATCCAAATCTGAAAATTCCGTTTTAAACTGAGTACTGTTTTAAAGTGTCACTAAACCCAAAAGACAAAAATAGACAATTGAATTAAATACCTTTCTTTGTTCTCACTGCTGTACCATATAAAAGCAGCATCTGTCCACACATCCAGAAATCTGGATTCATATTCTGCTTCAGCTTCCATCATGAGGGTGACTACATTTTGTCGACATAGTTCCAGTGTATGCGTGAATGTAGCCACCCTCCAATGCTTGATACTGACATTGTTACGCCCAGCCATGTAATAGGATGGTAAAACTCCCCTTCATGAAACTGCCAACCACACAGCTACTCGTGTGAGGGGCCAGCAATAATAAATACAATTTCCAACACATGTCCAGTACCATAGGCAGGCACAATGTGTCATGGCAATTGTAGTATTTGGGAAGAGGTGCACATGACAGCAATATATATGCACTGCTCATAACCATAGACAGGAAGTGAGGGGAAGAAAATCTCTGTGAGTGGCATGCCACAATAACAAAAGTTGAGGAAAGAGTGGTATGCAAGCTTTGAGGGCACATTCAAAGTATGGGGCTTTTATTGGGTATTATTATGGCCTAGATAGTGTTTTCTGGACTGAAGGTTTAGTGACACTTTAACCTCATGTCATTTTACTCATCTCAGTAAATTACTATGGGACCATTTTCAAAAACTGATATGAAATAATCATCGTGCTGTGTGCCCGGGCTGGGTTTGTAACCTAATCGCTATCTTGCACGCACCTTGCCTTATGCATGGATATTCATCCTCACCAAAGTATTGTCTGGTCAGATCAGCTTGGTCTAAGTGTTTACTAGCCCAGCACAAATGAGAAATGACACAAGAGCATTTCTTTATTACAGTCCTCATCATATGAACATGACAGATGTACAGGGTTTGATTACACCTGGACAGGGTCCATGGTTATCACACGGTCTGCTATAAGCACTTGGTACAATGGTCCCCTTCCGATAAGCATTCCACCTCTGTTCACTAGACAAAGCAATATTTAAAATGTATCCGGTGGGTCGTACAAAACCAGATTAAACACGCTGTGATGTCATTTAATGGTAAATCCATATTAATGTGTGAATAAAAGTTATATTCCTTGAGACAGGTCTGCTGATGTGTGCTGACTGCACCTGCAGGGGTAGTACCAGCTGTTCAAGTGTATTTGCATTACATGAAGCAACACATTAAAATGGCCTCTTTGTCTGTGGTAGTTTCATTCCTATCTGCCAACATGAAAGTACAACGATGAAATGCTATTTAATAAAGATCACATCTAGGCGCTAAGTAAAACTAGGCAGGAAACGGCAATTCTGATCCAGGAAATAACGTTTTAGGTTTAGTTTTAAATTTCCCCCCACAACCTTTCCCCTGGCTGATGATCAAATATAATAAAAAGCAAGGTCTGTAAAGCATATCTACAGTAAAAACCCAATTTTTTTGGTTTTGGATAGAATAGGAAAACATTAGAAGCACTTTTGGGTTTTCACTAGACATGTAACCCTGCTAAAAAATTTGCTTGATTTGGTTTCGGATCCATTGGGATTTAAATTTTTTTTGTTTTTCGTATTTCAGATCCAAATTTTGATTCGGTTCGTTATCCATCCGAATTTTCATTTCGGAACAAAGTCCCATGACTGTGCCTGTAATACAACTCCCAACAGCCAAAAAAACATCTGATTGACCAGAGAACAGTCACACATCCGATTTAGTTTTGTTTTGGTTCTCAACTGGTGTAACCTCAGGACCCACATTTCTCCTTGGTCATTAAGTCGCGACCCAAGTCGGCATTGTGATACCGCGCGTTCCGGTGCGGGCAATCAAAATGTGGGTGGGGGGTATGTTTGGGTTACATTCAAATGCATTGCAACGCAACACACCTCCCACACCAAAATCCACGGTAGGTGCGATTGCGTGTTACAGTGTGTTAATTGCACGGTTCTATGCCCCACCCCACCTCAAGATGACACTCGGTGCCGGACAGCATTTTTTGAATGGCTGCTTGGTGTGACAGCTGACTGTGCAGCGCTAGGGGGAGGCAGAGGAGCCTCTCACCTAGAAAAGTGAAAGGCATACTTCGGCTCATTAAACACCGGGTCGTGACCCACCAGTTGAGAACCAAGGCTCTCAACTATAAATACAGAACAAATTGAAAAATGAGAGTTCCTGATAGTTATATTGGTAGTCTAAAACAGATTGATTATTGCCCAAATGTTTTGTCCAGCTTTAATGAGGCTGCTGTTTCCTGATGCACTGATCTGCTCCATATATATACTGTATCTATGAATGTTTATTACATTATTGCATTCTCCTTCATATAATAGAATACTCATTATGTGCCTTTCTCCTTGGCAGGATTCTGCTGACTGTGGTTGTCATTTTTCGAATATTAATTGTGGCTATTGTCGGAGAGACAGTCTATGAAGATGAACAGACCATGTTCATGTGCAACACTCTTCAGCCTGGCTGTAACCAAGCCTGCTACGATCGAGCATTCCCTATCTCCCACATCCGGTACTGGGTCTTCCAGATCATCTTAGTGTGTACCCCAAGCCTCTGTTTTATCACATACTCTGTCCACCAGTCGGCCAAGCAGAGGGACCGGAGATATTCCTTCCTCTATCCCCTTTTAGAGAAGGAACTGCCACGAGAGAACCGAAGGATGAAAAATATCAATGGGATTTTGATGCAGAACCAGGACCTTTCGTCCAAGGATGAGCCAGACTGTCTGGAGGTAAAAGAGATCCCAAGCACGCCTAAAAAAGCAGCAAAGAGCCCCAAGGTCAAGCGACAAGAGGGCATCTCACGCTTTTACATCATTCAGGTCTTCTTCAGGAATGCTTTAGAGATTGGTTTCCTGGCAGGACAGTACTTCCTTTATGGTTTTAGCGTTCCACCCATCTTTGAGTGTGACCGCTACCCTTGCGTAAAGGAAGTCGAGTGCTACGTATCTCGGCCCACTGAGAAGACAGTCTTCCTGGTTTTCATGTTTGCTGTAAGTGGCATCTGTGTTCTTCTCAACTTAGCCGAGCTTAACCACCTTGGTTGGAGGAAAATCAAGACAGCCATGAGGGGAGTTCAGGCTCGCAGAAAGTCAGTTTGCGAGGTGCGTAAAAAGGAGCCATCAACTCTGGCTCAAGTGCCAACATTGGGGAGGACACAATCCAGTGAGTCAGCTTATGTTTGACCTCGTTGTGGTCACGCCCATGGTTTGGAGTTCTCCTCTATACTATAGAGAATGTAATCGGAGCATTATTTAATATGGCTGAGTTTGGCTTCTGTCTTCCAACCACCAGTGGAGACCCTCCAGACTTTGTTAGTAGCCTTTGATAACTGGAGTTGCTGGCTTATTACAAGAAGAAGAATCCAGCTTCCAGCGGCACCAGTTGGGGTGGGATATGCGAGAATAGGGTGGGACACAAGTATAGGGACATTATTTATAAAGACAATTGTGGGACTGTAAAGTGAAGGGATATTGCTTGGTACTGTTGTAATCTGTACCTTATATTCATTTTTTTATGTCGGCTGCTAATCGGAGTAATGATAGAGTGGAGTCCTTAGATGGGTATTTAAATTTAGAAAATCTGCACTAACACTTCAGAAGCCATAAAACTGGGCAGGGAGGAGCAACAAATAACGCAAATAGGGGTACTTTAGAGAGGAGTTTGAAAAGCCTCTCTCGACTGTTATATACCTCTTACTTCCCATTCGCTGCAAACTCCCCCCCAACAAAAATCCTCATTCGCACCTCACTTGCTCTGAAAACATAATTGACAATTTCAAAACTTGATAAGAAGTCAGAATTATTATTTTTTCCTTAAACACAATGACAGAAGACCTAGAGGGTTGAGCAAACGCCATCAACAACAAACTGGCAGGGGAAAGAGAAAGGCAAAAGCCATTGGGCAGGAAAAGGGAGACTACAATGTTCAGCAAAGCATGAGGAAATTGGCAGGCAGGAAATGGAACACAGAAGAGATAGCAGACAAGAAGGCATTACAGTCCTCAGCATAAAGGGCAAGTGAACACAACAGCACAGAGGGTGAAGACAAGCTACAGCAGTAGAAGGCCAGGGTATGTTTCAATACTCATTAGTTATGGTAAGTATTGCTGTGACACACAGTACAACACCCAGAAGACAAGGAACACTTGGTGAGGAAGGTTAGGGAACAAACCTTGCTTGGAACAGGCAGCAGAAAGGTAATGAAACAGTATGAAGCCTGATAGGCCAGGTAGGCAAAGTAAGACCAAAAACCCCATTACAACTTTCAAAAGGCAGGCAATGAAACATGGGGAAAAAAATCAGTAGGCAGGAAAAGGAATGTTGACATGCAGGCAGGGAAAAGTGCATTTTTGATAAGGCAGATAGGGAACTCATTAAGGCTAAATGTGCAAGTTGTGGGACACATTAACATTGTGAATAAGGAAGGGATTAGTACACTTCATTGTTTGGAAGGCAGGAAAGGGAACAATCTAACGTTCATCAGGCAGGCAGGACACACTACCGCATTCAACATGTAGGAAGGGGAGCACTGCAAGGTTGATTAGGTAGACAGGGCACACTTCAACATTCAACACGTAAGCAAGGGAACACTACTATGTTCATTAGGTAGGAAGGACATACTACAACATTCAACATGAAAACAGGGAAACACTATAATGGTTATTAGGTAGGAAGGGCAGACTACAACATTTGGCATGTAAGCAAGGGAACACCACAATGTTCTTTAGCTAGAAAGGGCACATTCCAACAGTAAACATGTAGGCAGGAAGTACTTCAATGGTAAATAGATGGGCAGTGCACTTTACAAAGTTTAGCACACAGATGGGGAACATCACAATGCCAGTTAGGGAGACAGGACACAATCCAACATCAAGTATGCAGGCAGGAGAACATTTCACACAGAACAACAGTGTTGTTTAAGCAGGAAGGGGACACTGCAACATAAGAAATGTGGGCAGTAAAACACTACAATGTTCATTAGGTAGGAAAGGCACACTTAAACATCCAATGAACAGACAGGGGAACACTACAACATTCAGTATGTAGGCAGGATTGTACTAGAATATCCATTATGTAAGTAGGACACACTACAATACATAGCAATGCATGGGCATACTACAGCATTTACCAGGCAGGCAGGAAGAGCAACAATGTTTATTACATAGGCCAGTGTACACCCCAATAGTCAGCAGGCAGGTATGGATATATTGAAGCACTTACACAGTGGAGGGGGAGAGCAATTTTCAACAGGAAGTCAGGGTAGTGGATTATACCATTCAGCAGGAAAGTAGGAAAACACCAAAAAATGTGTTACAATCATGTAGAAAAACAACAACATCCCCCCAAGCAGGTAGTGTCCAAAAGTATACAGAAATCCTGGATAGGCATGTAATGTAATGCTACATAGCTCAGCTGGCAGTGTGATGTAACTGGTCACAGCACTACAACTCTCTACAAGCAGGCAGTGGTACAGGACCGCAGTCAACAAAAAGTGGTACACAAGATCCACTAGGTAGGCACATGAGGGAAAAATACAACCCTGAGCATGGAAGGGAAAAGTACAACATGAGAGTGAAACATAATGGAACACACCGTAGCTCAATGGATACTGCAACACTCAGCAGGCAAACAAAGGAACACTACGCCATCCTGGAAGCAGACGAGGGGGCACAAGGCAAAAGATGAACGCTGTAATGCTTAGCAGTTAGGCAAGGAAACCTTACAACATAAGGAAGGCAAAACATCACCGCTTCAACAAATGTATGAGGACAAGGCTTCAGAGCAGATTTTATACAGTAAGGATTTATAAAAGAATGTATCAGATGATAAAGGAAAGGGTTTTTTTAAGTAAATATGTTTGCATGTTAAAAAGACATTTTGAGGTTAAGTCTTGAGATAATGAAAGTCTAGGCTTAGGCCCAAGAAAAATATGGTGTGCATTTAATGGTCGTGTCAGCATGTTGTGGTGCTATCTTCATTTTCATGCAGTATACATGTTTACATAGATACCATCAGCATATTCCAGACATGACAGCTCACCATTTTATTTAAACAACTCTGACCAATAAAACTGGCCAGGATGTCACACCCTAACCAGCATAATGCATGGGACAGGTCTGTCATACGATTTCTTAAAAGTCAATCCAGCTGATATTTTGCATATGGGTGGATTCTAGAGTTTGAAGAACACACAGGCTTCTTATGTATCTACGGGACATCAGCAGATAGATTGGCTGACTGTTCCTGACTTCCACTTTAAAATCACTCCTCCTGGCCCCACTTAGGAGTATTGGTAAAACATTTTAATGGAGAGCACACACCCTTGTAATGGCTTGGGCAGATGGGCAGACCTACATCTGAAATTCCATTAACCTTCAAGAATTCTGCAGGCAGTTCAACTCGTCATTTGGCCAACAATGACATACAGTTTTGGGTGTTCTGGCCTACTGAATGTTATGTTTTGGGAACTTTACAGCTTAATCTGGTTCTACATGAAGATCCAGGACCCGTGATAATGGTCATAAGATTTTGTCAGATTTAATTATACAATAATAGCCTAAAATTTACAGATCTGGATGTTTAGCGTCCAAACAGGAGGCAACACATGCTGTTGCAAATGATCACTGTGTGATCACACATTAAAAACAGTAGAGGGGTTTACTGCCAGCACTCTTATGAAATTAGAGGTCTCAAATGGATACAACCACCACCAAAGGGGTACTAGGCAGCATCAAATATTGGACTTACTGCATTAAAGTGCCCAAAAGAAGTAAACCAGCCATTTAGATGACTTTTTCCACATTAAAAGAAGTAAACTACGTTATGGTCAATATGACCTGAAGTTGGGTCTGAGGTTTCCATCAATCATCACTGGCAGCTTCTGCATGATCACAGGCAACCACTTAGCTTGACTGATGATGTCATCCTTGCTGACCTCATCACTGGTCAATGCAAGTAATAGTATCCATCTCAATGAAATTCAAACTTTTGGCCAATCAGTACATGTATTTAATTTGTAGAACTACATCCAGTGGCCTTTCCCATGGCAAAGGAGAATGGCCCAAATATGCATCATAGAAGTGAACCTATCCTTAAAAAGAAAAGTTATATTCCTACTATATCCTCTGAAAAGGCTTGACTTCTTCCTGACTGGATAGCTCTGGAATGACCTCCAGCAACCTTAATGAACAGTCATCATTTTTAGGCTATGGCCTCCTTGAAAGGTCAGTCTAGCTTCCTATATCACTCAAAGGCACCAATGAAAATCTGCACTTGAGTTCTCAGCTCTGCCCATGAGCCACAGCAGTTACAGGTTGGTAACAATCTCCCCACTGCATCTCCTGTTAATTTGCATTATGGTAAATGGAAGAGGAGGGAGACTTCTTGGTGGAGCTATAAGTAATGTTATAAACAATGATAGGGGGATCCAATTTGATGATACTGAGAGGAGTGAGAAGTGAGTGATTTGGACCACTTGCATCTACCCATAACCAATTATCAATTCTGTGTCAACAATCCATTTAACAACCTTTCTCAGGGCTCATGATATTCAGTGCCCTAAGGTTAAAGCAAAATTGGAGTTTCCAAAAAAACAATAAGGACACATTGAGGGTACGCTAAAAGGGATATAGAAAATACCTTACTAGTTTCATTGAACCTCAACACCTGTGGAAATGTCAGTGCTCTCTGTTTGGAAGCAGCAGTCTCTCAGAAGCGAACCAAAATGCCTCCCGCATTTAGTCAGTGCAAGAGCTCTCCAATCAACTAAGCTCACACTCACTGCTGATTGGAGATCTCCAGCTCCTACTTAGCAGGGACCTCTGCATAGAAACTGCTCTAGTCCTGACTCAGCAAGGCATCAGACTTCTGCATAGAGACTGCTCTAGCTCTGAGTCAGCTAGACATTGGACCTCTGCATAGAGACCACTTTAGTCCTGACTCAGCTAGTCATCGAACCTCGGCATAGAGACTGCTCTAGCTCCGACTCAGCTAGGCATTGGACCTCTGCATAGAGACAGCTCTAGTCCTGACTCAGCTAGGCATTGGGCCTCTGCATAGAGACTGCTCTAGCTCTGACTCAGCTAGGCATCAGACTTCTGGATAGAGACCACTTTAGTCCTGACTCAGCTAGGCATTGGGCCTCTGCATAGAGACTGCTCTAGTCCTGACTCAGCTAGGCATTGGCCCTCTGCATAGAGACTGCTCTAGTCCTGACTCAGCTAGGCATTGGGCCTCTGCATAGAGACTGCTCTAGCTCTGACTCAGCTAGGCATCAGACTTCTGGATAGAGACCACTTTAGTCCTGACTCAGCTAGGCATTGGACCTCTGCATAGAAACCGCTTTAGTCCTGACTCATCTGGGCATTGGCCCTCTGCATAGAGACTTCTCTAGCTCTGACTCAGCTAGGCATTGGTCCTCTGCATAGAGACTGCTCTAGTCCTGACTCAGCTAGGCATCAGACATCTGGATAGAGACCACTTTAGTCCTGACTCAGCTAGGCATTGGACCTCTGCATAGAAACCGCTTTAGTCCTGACTCATCTGGGCATTGGACCTCTGCATATAGACTGCTCTAAGCTCTGACTCAGCCAGGCATCGGACCTCTGCATAGAGACTGCTCTAAACTCTGACTCAGCTAGGCATTGGACCTCTGCATAGAGACTACTCTAGTCCTGACTCAGCTAGGCATCAGAACTCTGTATAGAGAGACTGTTCTAGCTCAGTAGGGAGGCGTCAGACCTCTGCATAGACTGCTGCTCACACGCAGAGATCACTGACATTTCTACAGGTGATGGGGATCAATTAAACTAGTAGGACATTTACTATATATCTCTTTACTGTATTCTCAATGTACCTGTATTTTTTTTTAATGCAAACTTCCATTGGGCTTTGCCTGCTTGGTTACTTTAAAATTCCATCTTCAGCCCAAATATTTTTTTCTTGAGAAAATGTGAAAGAGTATATACTTCTAAACAAATTATTGCTGTTTGTAACCCTCATCTCACTTTCTGTGCTTGTGACAGGATACGAAATAAAGGAGATGGTTGTCACCAGGACAGGAACACATAGACAGTACTTATAACCTGACAAAGGTTCTAACCCTTCCACATTTTACAGGAAATGGTGTGTTTTTTTGCAGTCTGTGTTGATACTGATCCCATCGCTTCCTGTTCCAACAAGAAGTGAGGTGAAATATCTCCAATGGGGTCACAGACTGCAGATAAAACCTTACAGGGGTTCTGTCCCTTCCACACTCTATTCAAAAATAGAAAAAAAATGATTTGGCTGGAGCTGTGCTTTAAAAAAGAACTAAAGCCAAACTTTTTTTTGGCTTTAGTCCTCTTTTGGGTCACAGGAGTACATTTAGTAATGTACTCCTGTGACCCAAGTTCAGCATCAAGTGAGCTATGGCCCGCTAATTGCTGACAGCACAGAGCTCAGATCCCAGTATTGTCGGGATCCACCCTGTTGCCTGATTGACAGCTGGCTCTGCCTCTCTAGATCCAGAGCCAGCGGTGCCCGTCTCTCCCCTGTCTGTCCCTCCAATGAGCGCTGGAGGAACATGGAGGGGAGGGGGAAACCCTGCAGGGAGTGATGACTGACAGTCACCGCTCTCTGCAGGGAGAAGCTGATCGATCAGCGGTTCCCGATGGCTCATTTATCGATCTATAGAGCCGACATGTGACACCTGCCATGTGGTACGCAAGCTCTAAGTATTGGGAAGAGTACATTTTGCTCTCCCAATATGTTTCCTTTAAGAAATCCTGAATCTGTCCCATGTACAACATATATAACAAACGATCCATAAAACATACAGGTATTGATACCTTCTAGTGGAAGGCAGGCTTTGGCTGCCAATATTTCTGATGATAAAATAAATATATTTGACCTAAATACTTTGCAAGGCTCCATATTCACCATAACCTAACATTTTTGTATTATTATGACCTGGTATGCAAGCATGTATTTATTAGAATGTTTTTTTTAAAAAAAGAAAAAGAAATGTTGGACAATGCTATAATGAAACAATAGTTTATTTATTTTGTTGATGAACTACTGCAATGGGGACATTTATTGGGGTTTTGATACATTTAAAAAAAAAAGTCCCTTAAAGGAATCACTGCCTGCACCTTGCAAATTCTTCCTCAGGAGGGATATGACAGTGGGCATGATGGGATCTCTTGAGGTGTTTTCCGTGCGGAGTCGGTTCACCATATCCGCTTCACGTTACGACCACCTTCATCAGCAAACCAGTGCTGTTTTCTGGTGCCGCCGCCTGGCACGAAACCGGCACACCTGGTCAGACTCAGGATACAGCCAAAAGGAAGCTAATTAACGGTGCTCGTATCAACCAAATGTACAGAACTCTCAGTGAATTGCTGAATTCAACAAGTGACATTTTTTTGGCAGGGGAAAGGGATGGGAGGGTTTGTAGTTGCAATGCAGCGCATGTCGAGTCCCACAATGCAATGCAGGTTTCAGCTGTCAAGCAGGTGCAATATTCAGAGAATCATAAGTCTCAGGCATCCAATGGAAAAAAAATATCAATAAAGAAATGCTGATAAGTGTCTTCTTAATGGTATATATATATATATAAATATATATATGTTAAAGGTATAAGGGTTACATAACATTGTGATTCATTTACTTAAAGGGTTTGCTATGGTCAAGAAATAAAAATATGTATTTCTGTTGGAACTTTTTACACAGCCTCACAGAGAAACACAAACACACAGTCTGATATGCATGCTGCACATGGCTTGGTAACAGGAAGGAAGCCACCACTTTATTCTCTACCTTTTTCAATACAACAGAGTATATACCATAGATAGATAACAGAACGTATCAACACTGCCATCTGGTAAACAAAAATATATACTGCAGGAGTTATTGCTCACAGTAATGTGCATTCAAACTATTTCCATACTGAATTTCCATAAGTTCTATCCCACTCCTAATTTAGAGGGCAAAAGACTAGTCACCAATGTTGTCTGTGGTCTCCCTACAGCTGATCTTTTTCCCCAGGACTGACTTACAATGCCTTGTTCTGCACTGTCTCTGTGTGGAGGAGGCCCTCTTGATGTATGCAGGGGCTTGCTTCCTCATATCAGAGCATCCAGCAAGAAGAACAATCAGCACCACAGTAGTGACATCCCCAAATCTCACTCCAAATCTCCCGAAACCATAGTCAGAGGGAGCAGTAAATGTCAGATCCTGCAGATGTATAGCTATAAGACTGAAGGTACAAGAATGCCTGTGCACCCTTACATACCAGAGTGTGCACTATTATTTAAGACAAAATGTACACTTGTTCAGGTTACCTAACATTTCTAGATCTTCCCTATAACATAGCAAATCTTTACTTTTGCTATGTCCGCTTTACTTAAATATTAGGTTACAACTGAAGAACTGAAAAAAAATTCTAGTTGTCTGTCAGTCTGTGTTTTAAGTTCCTTCTGAGTCCAGGACCAAAAGGAAGACCGGGCTTTGGTAAATCTTTTTTGCTGCCATTGCCCATTTGTTGCCCACATAGTGTCAGGACTGCGCATTTTCTACCCACATATTGTTACCATTGCCCATTTGTTGCCCACATGTTGCAGAAATTGCCTGTCTGTGTCCCATGCATTGCCACAACTACCCATTTCCCTCCGACCTATAACCACAACTGGCCATGTACTGCCCGCATACTGTCATAATTGCCCATTTGGACACTGCTTTCCCCTTCCCCTTTAGCAGGATCTCATGAGGTTATAAACATTTCCAGGTATGGTTATGGCTTGATAGCTTTCCCCTTCACTTGTGTGACAGGGAAATTGCCATTCAAGCTCACACAGGGTTGATGTTATGTTTATAAGCTCATTGTAGGTTAGTCATGCAGCAACTAAATTATTCAACCTGTGTGCACTGCTCTTGTCAGAGCCATTACAGTAATTAATAGAGGCAACACAGAATCAAGACAGTCAATCTATAACCACCGAACTGAGGAATTATCTGTGTGATAGAAAAGATATCATGCCTAAAAGAAAGTTAAAGCGCAATAATCTGTGCTGTGAAGAATATGAATTGCAATGCTGCCATGCAAAATATAACGACTAAAATGTGACAAAATATGAATAGTGCCTCTAAAACATTCATATCCAAAATAATATCATAGATACAATTGAAGATTAATATTCTTACCTTTGTCCCCTTTTGCTGCCAAGGACGTATGGCATACGGACCTACAAAAGTGCTTCCAGCTGGCCATCGGTTATAATTTATGCAGGTCTGATATTGACGTATAAGTACACTCCACTTGTGTATTGCAAGATTTCAAGTTTTCTTTGTCATACTGTCTGTATGTAGTATAATCAGATCATTAAACATACCGTCATATATTATGCCTGAAAGAAAGGTGTCCGCAACCAAATCCTTTCTTTTAATTGTCCAGCTTGCAGAAAAATGACAGCTAGAATCTGATTGGCTGTTATGAGCAAAACAGATTCTGTACAGATCCAATGTGTGGTCAGTTGCTACTCCCCACAAAAACACCACATTTGACAAACATGCAGATTGGTCAGTTTTGGCTATCATCATGGATGGCCACATCTGCATACCCCAGGGATTTTTGACCTTGAGCCTCTGGGCTTTTTGGGTACACCTCAGGGTCTCATTATTTAAAAGCCAATAGCAATGTCTGTAGACCACAACTCCTCCATTCTATCACACCTACCAACTGGCCCTCATTTGGAGCAAAATCCCTCTGTCCCTCTTTTTGATCTGATGTAAAGATATCTATGAGAAAGTTCTATTTCATATTATTCTGCACTAAAACTTTTATATTATCTTGTTTACTATTTTAAAAAAACAGTATAAAGGAACAGTAATGGTGAAAGGGACATTTCTAGGTTTATGCAATTATTATTATGATTATGCAGGATTTTTATAGCGCCAACAGTTTGCGCAGCGCTTTACAATATAAGGAAGACATTACAGTTACAATAAAATTCAAGACAAGATGGTACGGAGGGCCCTGCCCGTGGGGGCTTACAATCTAAAAAGAATAAGCAATGTTATAAGATGTTTTATTAAAAAGATGGTTCAATCCAAAACCAATCATTTCTGCCGTATAAATTCTTAATAGGTCGCATACCTGGGGGCATGGCAAGGTGTGTCCATTGCCGAAATACATTTTGCTGGAAGGTGTCCTACTTTCTCATCTTAGAAATTTTTGGAGGTATGATTTTATACCTGATGGGAATAAGCAATGTTATAAGATGTTTTGTTAAAAAGCTGCTGGATTATAATGCCTGGCCAGCCACCTGCCACTCAATATCTGTAGGCAGCTTTAGCTTTTGTCAGCTAAACTGTAGACAGTAGTAGACAGCAAACCATTTCTCATATAGTCAAGGCTAAAGCTACAGGCTCAGTACTCCCCATACTAGTATAGCCGGCTACTGTGGCATTATATTGTATAACATCTCAAAGTCGTGTTAAATGGAAAGTCGCATTTAAAAACAACTTGTACACAGAGAAATATGGAAGATGCCATTGCTGACCTATTGCTCTACCTAAAAGTAGTAGTTTCCTACATGACGGTGATGTCAGCATTTTCTAAGTCACCAACCTGGAACACGCATGCAGCTATTGAAGTCAATGAAAAGTAAACCCTTTTCTAGGAAAAGTCTTTGGATCAACATG